CAACAACCACCAGCAACAACAACAACAACGACGGCGACGACGACGACGGCAACGACAACAACACCATCAACAGCAGCAACAATAACAATGACAGCGACAACGACATTGACGACAACAACAACAACAACAACAACAACAACAACAACAACAACAACGACGACAACGACAACGACAGCAACAACAACAGCAGCAACAACAGAGAACGGCAACGGCAGCGACATCGGCAACGAAAACAACATTACTTATTTAAATATTGTTCGCTCTAATCTGCCCGCGTGCCACTCATCAGGTATATCCTAAACCTTCGATGCCCGCCCTCTTCGTCTTCGATCATACGCCCTTTGGGGTGTACCATTCTTACCATCAACGTGTATTTCGTGCAGCCCCTAAGGCAGGGGGTGTGAGGACGGATGGAAGGAAGAGACAATGGGCAGGCGGGTTGTTGAAACGTGTGCCCTGCATGATTGGTGAGGAAATTTCGAACGAGAGCGAGATTCCTGAGTGTCGAGGGCGCGGCGTCTGAGTAAATTGAGAGGAAGTCCCACGCGAGAGCGCGATTCTTTTGCTATTGCGAGGAAGTCCCGCGCGAGAGCGCGATTTGGGAATAACTTGCGAGGAAGTATCAGGGAGCCGTTGTTGCTGTAACTCGGGGCACAACACAGCATGTTGGTGACCATCACTTCCCCTTCAACAAAAATCAGGGTGCGAGCCCCGGGAGGAGGATTTTAAGTCAAAAATGCAATTGTTACCCGGCAGGGGGGACCAACACCAATTATTCTTTGCGAGTGAGAGCTTAACAGCAGCAGCAATATCCACCATCAGTTTGAAGATTGTTCACTCCTATCTGCTCGCGTACCATCCAACACGTATATCCCAAGCCCTCGGTAACCACCTTCTTCGTCTTCGATGATATCCCCTTGGGCGCATATCTTCCTTAAATGCCACGCGCATTTAGCACAGCCCTAAAAACAGCAGAAGAACGGGCGGATGGAAGGGGGAGGGAGAAAGATGGAGCACGAGAGAAGTTAACAGGAGGGGGTCAGGAGCAGAAAGCACGTGGCAGAACCAGACGGGCAGATTCGGCGGGCAGACCCTAGCGGGCGGGTCGGGAAGGGGGTGCCAGGCGGACAGATCGAGCAGGCGGGTTGCTGAAGCGTGATTCCTGATGAATCGCGAGGAAGTCTCGAGCGATAGTGCGATTCCCAAACAAATCGTGAGAAAGGCCGAAGCGAGAGCGAGATTCTTGAGTGTCGAGGGCACGGCGAGTGAATCAAGTGGGAGGAAGTGAGAGGAAGTCTCACGCGAAAGCGCGATTCCTATAAACATTGTGAGGAAGTCCCGCGCGAGAACCCGATGTTTCAATACATTGTGAGGACGTATCAGGCGACAGCCGTTGTTGTTGTAACGTGGGGGCCAGGGGCCCAGTTTGGTGACGCCAAGTTTTCCGTTGTAAAAGCAGGGTGCGAGTCCCAAGAGGAGGACTTGAATTCAAAATATACAATGCTTACCGGCTGGGGTCAAGAACTTAGCGAGGAGACCCCGAGCGGAATCCGCACCGCGGAGTCCCGCTTCAGCCGCGCACCCAGGGATAATGAATGACAGTTCGGCCCCCTTCACTCTTTGTTATACTTCCCAAATGATGTGGGATTCTAGAAAAGCGCCCTCGATCATTGAATTGCCCGTTGACGTACCGAACCATTTGTTCGAACCAGATGGTGAACATATAGTTACATACAAATACACCTGTGCAACTATGTGTGATCATCTATATACATGTATATTTATATAGGACCACGCATTGCAAACAAACATGCTGAAGGATCCGCAGTGCGCATGAGCTTCGAGAAGTACGCACGAAGGCATGCAATAATAAGCAAGATAGAAGCGAATACCAGAGCAGACGGACGGGTGTGAAGGAGGAACATACATGGTCCGTAACAGCAACAGCGCCGAGCGCTACATACGCGGGGAAAAATTGCGTCAGGGTGTGAAGGAGGGACATACATGTCCAGTAACCGCAAACAGCGCCAAGCGCTACATGCGCGGGGAAAAAACGGCGCCGTGCGCTCGCTCTATAGAGGAACAGCGCGCCGTGTTGAGCGAGGCAAGCGCGCGGGGTGGCGTGGTGGGCCCGAGGCAGTTGAGGATGGGAGGCCACGTGTTATGCGCTGCGTGGCGCAGCGGCCCTTGCGAGCTGCGATGCGACAGCGCCGCGCGCTGCGTGACGGGACAGATCCGCGAGGTCCCAAATTCGGAATCCCGTGCAGATCCACCCCGCGCGACCTCCCAAAACCCCATGGAAGTGACGGCAGATGCGCTCTTCGCAGCCCCCCCGGGGAGCCGCGAGGTCCCAATTGGATCCCTTTCCATCTTCACTCCGCACGATCTCCCAGGAGCCCACGAAAGTGGCGACAGCTGCGCACGTCGCAGCCGCGCACGGAGCCGCCAGGTCCCAAGGGGGTCTGCGTACCATCCCACTCCGCGTGACCTCCTGGGAGCCCACGAGAAGTGTTGCGACAGTTGCTCACTTCGCAGCCACGCATGTGAATCACGAGGTCCCAACTGAGTCTGAGTACCGCCCCGCTCTGGGCGACCTCCCAGGAGCCCACGAAGGTGGCGACACTTGCGCACTTCGCAGCCACGCGGGAAGACGCGAGGTCCCGACTGGGTTTGCGCACCATTCCAACCCGCTGAGCTTCCCGGAGCCCACGAGGGTGGCGACAGTTGCGCATTTCGCAGCCACGCAGAGCGCCGCAGTTGCGCACTTTGCAGGTCCAAATTGGGCCTGTGTACCAATCCACCCCGCTGGACCCCCCATGAACACACGAAAGGGGTGACAGTTGCACACCTCGCGGCCTCCCAGGGAGCCGCGAGGTCCCAAGTGGGTCTGCGTACCATTCCACTCCGCGCGACCTCCTGGGAGCCCACGAAAGAGGCGACAGTTGCCCACTGCGCAGCCACCCCCCCCAGGGGGCCGCGAGGTCCACACTGGGTTTGCGTACCACTGCATTCCCCGTGCGACCTCCCGGGAGCACACGAACGTGGCGACAGTTGCCCACTGCGCAGCCCCCCCCCCAGGGGGCCGCGAGGTCCACACTGGGTTTGCGTACCGTTCCACCCCGCGCGACCCGCCGGAAGCACACGAACGTGGCGACACTTGCGCACTTCGCAGCGCTCCAGGGAGCCGCGAGGTCCCAAGTGGGTCTGCGTACCACTCCAACCCGCGCGACCTCCCAGGAGCCCACGGAAGAGGCGACAGATGCGCACTTCGCAGCCCCCCAGGGAGCCGCGAGGTCCCAATTGGTTCTGAGTACCACTCCGCTCCGCTGGACCTCCCAGGAGCCCACGAAAGTGGCGACACTTGCGCACTTCGCAGCCCCTCAGGGAGCCGCTAGGTCCCAAGGGGGTCTGCGTACCACTCCGCTGGACCTCCCAGGAGCCCACGAAAGTGGCGACACTTGCGCACTTCGCGGCCTCGCTGGGAGCCGCGAGTTTCCAATTGCGTCCGCGTACCTTTCCACGCCGTTGGACCTCCCAGGAGCCAACGAGAGTGGCGACACTTGCGCAATTCGCAGCCACGCAGGAAGCCGCGAGGTTCCAACTTGGTCCGCGTACCGTTCCAATCCGTTGGACCTCCCAGGAGCCCACGAAAGTGGCGACATTTGAGCAATTCGCAGCCACGCAGGGAGCCGCGAGGTTCCAATTGCGTCCGCGTACCACTCCATTCCGCTGGACCTCCCAGGAGCCCACGAAAGTGGCGATAGGGAGAGCCCCGCACGAAAGTGGCCAGGCGGCGCAAGCAGTGCGAAGGAGAGAAGGGATGAGGAAGCGAAGGACGAGGAGACAGGAAGTAGGAGGCAGGAGGCAGGAGGGGGAGGAAGAAGGAGGAGACTCGACCACAGCGCTCCATTCTAAACAAGAACCCCACACAGGACGGTTGGGAATGACGGTTTTGGCGTGTGTCGATATTGGTGTTTGGTTTTCAGTTTTTAGCGTTGGGATACAGTGAGGTTGTGGTCGCCGCTACGTTACCTCACTGGCAGGTTGGCGGGGACGGTGTTGACAGCTCCTCACGCATCCGCGTTGGTGCAGCGTTGGATATGCGCGCCAGCGTTGGGGTTCATCGGACTAGTGACACCGAATTGTGTTGCACATTCTACTTGGTCCAGACCGTATGCTGGTTTGCCGACCTGCGTGGCGGACAACGGTGCCTGTTTGCCATGCTCGGTCTCCGAGGCGTATACTACCCCCGGGACCGTCAAACTAACCCTCCGGATGAAACGCCGTTTCCAGGGAAGGAGTCCAGCTTTTGGGGGGTCACGAGGTGAACAATTACGACATCGATGGACTCAGCCGTCTTGCCCCCTCAGGCAGAGCTGCAAGTCACCGATGCTCGCTCGTCCTCGGGGCCTGATTCCTCTTCCTCTTGACATCGCTCGGACGTGTGCATTTTTCCTTCGGCGAGGACCATCGAGGAGCATCCTTGATCATGTGGCGAAAAAACCACGCACGAATTCGAAAAAACACAGGGAATGGACGTCCGAGCGATGCCCAGTCCCCGTTCTAATGTTCATGCATCCTGGCATCGTTGGGGCGGGCCGTGCTCCCATCCTCCACTCCCTCCCCATGCATCCCCACCATCCCCTCCATCTCTTCTCTGTCTCCCCCCCATCCGCTTCCTCCCTCCTGATGATTTGTTCCTCATCTCTCTCTCTCTTTCTCTCTCTTTCGCTCTCTCTTTCTCTCTCTCTCTCTCTGTCCCTCTCTGTCTCTTGTCTGCTCTTCCTTCTCTTCCGCCCTCTTCGGCCCGCGTCCTCCTTCCCTCTTTCTCTCCTGTCTGTTATTTCTCCTCGCTCGTAATCAGAATCCCCCATTTGTTCTTCCTCATTTTCTTCCTCCTGTCTTCCTCCTCCCTCCCCTCTTCACCGTCCCCGTCCTGCCCCTCGCCCACCACCCTGCTCATTCCTCCCTTTTCACACACCCCACCCTCTGTCATTCCATCAAGGTTTGCTCAAGCGTGCCAGATCTCATGGGGTGCTCCGGGCAATCCGGTTGTTGCCAGCTGTGTACAACGACAGCACAGGAGGCCGATGGCGGCCCCGTCTAAATGCCAGGAGAGCCGTGGTCTTGATTCGGAGGTGACCCAGACCGAAAACGGAACACCAGGCAATGCCGACGGACAAGCGGGCGTCTTGCCGAGTGACAGGCTGGATTCCCACGGGGCGACGGAGCCGGAAGGCGTGCCAGCAGGGCCCGATGCAGATCCGGGTCCAGCCGCACAGGTGATTGCAACGCCGATGCAGAAGGACACGCCCACGGAGCCAGCTGCAGACGGGGAAGGAGAATATGGGCAGCGCGTGGTGGCGGCGTCAATTCGGGTTGAGGGCATGACGTGTGCCGCTTGCTCCGGCACCGTGGAGCGAGCTTTGGCAAGGGCGGAGGGCGTGCAGAGGGCGAGCGTGTCCTGCGTCACGGGTGTGGCGCGCGTGGAGTTCGACGCGAACCGGTGTTCGGGCAAGGCTCTCTGCGAGATGATCGAGGGCGTGGGCTTCGGCGCCGAGGTAGAGTGCACGGACGAGGGCAAGAAGCGCATCATGGCGGCGTCAATTCAGGTCGAGGGCATGACGTGTGCCGCTTGCTCTGGCACCGTGGAGCGAGCCTTGGTGGCGGCGGTGGGCGTGCAGAAGGCGACCGTGTCCTGCGTAACTGGTCTGGCGCGCGTGGAGTTCGATGCAGAGCTGTGCTCGGGCAAGGCTCTGTGCGAGGTGATCGAGAGCGTGGGTTTCGGCGCCAAGGTCGAGACTGAGGATGCGGTCGAGAAGATGAGCAGCAAGGCCGCTCTCCACGTCGAGTCCAACTGCCCCAGGGAGAAGCTGGAGGGGTTGGTGACCCAGCTGGATGGCGTCCTCAGCTGCCGGACGCTCGCCAGAGGCCACCAGCGCGTCGACTACGACCCGCACGTCGTCGGCGCCCGGGCCCTGCTGTTTCGCCTGAAGCAGGCGATCGGCCCAGAGTTTGAGCTGCGCCCGACGGATGCTAACAGCGCGGACGAGCATCTTCTGGGCTACCAGGAGCACATCAGCGGTCTCGTGCGGGACGCGACGTGGTCCACGCCCCCTGCTTTGATGGTGTTCCTCTTGGAGATTGTGATCCCGGGCCTGGAGCTCGACGGCGACGTGACCCCGCTCGAGTTCGAGGTTCTGACGGGCCACGTCCCCCTGCGCCTCCTCATCCTCGTGGTGTGCGCGACCATAGTGATCGTCGGGCCAGGGATGCGCTTCCATAAGGCTGCGGTCGGCGCGATCAAGCGGCGTTTCCCCAACATGGACGTTCTCGTGAGTGTGGCCGCCGGCACCGCTTACCTGTACTCGTTGGTCATTATCTGCGTCTGCGTCTCCACACCCACCGATTCTCCGACGGTCCACGAGCTCAAGCACGCTTCGGGCCACTTCCTGGCAATGGGTCCCATCTTGATCGCTGTGGTGATTTTCGGCAAGATCATGGAGTCCAAGGCAAAGCTGAAGGCCATGCAGGCGCTGGTCGACATCCCCTCCAGCCTGCCGCCCACCGCAGTCATCGTGGAGGAGAAGGGCGATCAGGAGTTTGCAATCCTGACAGGGACATCTTTGCGACTATAGTCGAGCATCTGATTGAGAAACTTCCTCCTGAAAAGCTGGGCCAGTGTTTCTTAAATGAACTGCCGGAGAGCTGGCCCAGTTTCTTGAGCAGCTTCGCCCCGCCAGCGTTCACAGAAATTGGCCCAGGCTTGTTTTACAGTGGAGGCGCGTGCCAAGAAACACCCTGGCCCTGCGTGCCTCCAGGGTGCCCTGGGTTTCGATGGCTTCGGGTGGGAAAGCGTGACTTTCCCACGCCAGAAATCAATGGACGTCCTGGGGTCTCAGGGTCGGGTTTCTTGTGGAAAATTTCTTGTGGACTGGCCTCCACTGTACTCTTGCATCCTTGCCTCTTCGGTCCATCCTTGGCCGCTTTCGCTGGCCAGCCTGGTTCGAGAAGCGTGAACATGGCCCTCCAGGGCCCTTGCGTCCTTACCGCGTATCCTTATGATACGGGCTAAATGGAGTCGGGGACGGCCAAGAGGGGGGTGATGACCAGTGGGGGAAGGTGGATGTCATGACCAGGGCCACGGTGTCTCCCCAAAGGTTTCATGGCCCACGTCCCGTGCCCTCCCCTCCCCCCGCTGGGCCGCGCACATACCTCGGGCCATGATTTTGCGACCCCCCCCTCTTGGACGCCCCCCTCTTGGACGCTCCCGACGCAGTGCCACAAGATTTCTTCCAGCGATCACCACCCCCAAGGCGATCAGACAACTCCGATGGAGCTCGTCGAGATTGGCGACGTGGTGCGCATCTTTGCAGGCGGCCGCATTCCCGTGGACGGCAGCATGTGTTCGGACGCCGCCGTGCACGTGGACGAGTCGATGCTGACAGGGGAGAGCAGGCCCGTCTCGAAGAAGAACGGGGACGCCCTCCTTGCAGGCACTCGGGGCCTCCAGATCACCAGCGTCATGTCGGGCCTGCCCCTCTACGGGAGGATATCCACAAATAGTATAAAAAGACAAGTGGTACGATGTTCTGATTTTTTCTGTTGTTTTGAATATGCTTGAATATGTTTGAATATGTTTGATTCGTCCAAAATCCCCCTGTAAGAGGACATGCCCAACCTAACACCAGCGTCGGTAGGCGATGTGGCGGTCTATTCTGAGATGACTTGTCGCCGACCGAGTCATAACAGCGCGGCGCTCTGCAGAGAATGTCGGGAGTTCATCTCAGAAATGGGGCCCCTCATCAGAAAAGGGGCGCGGGTGATTTCGAGGCTCTTAGGCACACTGTGTCTGTCTGGTGGCTGCCTCATCCGCGTCAACAAGGTCGGTCAAACGCCAAAATTGCGATCCTAGCCCATCACACAGATCTCATCTGCATAAGGTTGCATGTATGGGTTTTGTTTCATAGTCACTGTAGGAAACGGGATTGCGTGCCCCCTACCCGTATGTACGTGTTTGGATGGATTCCGATTGGTATGTCAAAAAAAACCGATGGATATTCCAATGTATGCCAATGTGGCGCAGCCATGTTTAGGTCTTTAATGGTACAACTGATTCAAGAGGCTTGCGACACTCCGCTGACCCCCAGAATAGGAGATACGTCCACAGAGCTCCCTACGAAGAGTCACTGTTTGGGCATGGTGGTTTACATCGGAGTGGTTGCCCACGCATGCACACATGAGGCATCGCTTCCCTGGGCGCCGCCAAGCGTGAACTTTCGCCACTGTTTTGGTTATGGTGTCTGTTGCGGGGTTATCTTGGGGGCCCCTTGGAGATCTCGGGGAAGTGTTTGAGGAACATGTTGAGGCTTCGTGGGGGCGCTTTGGGGCCTTCTGGAGGGCTGTTGAGCGCTTGCATGATGGGCGTCTTGCGGGCCATCTTGGGAAGGGGGGCTGCCTGAACCCTTTCGAGTTCCCCCTCTCGGGGCCCTCTTGAGAATTCTTGGGCGTCTTGGGGGCCTCTTTGGCTGTCTGTCTCCGGGTCCGTTGCTGGGTCTCCTGGGCCGTCGTGGGTTGGTGTGAGGGGGGTCGTCTTGGGTTGGTGCGAGGGGGCCTCGTGGACATTACTGAGCTTCCGGAAGCCCGAAATGGCGACAACGCAAGAATATTTCAAACAGTTGTGTGGGAACCAGTTGTTGTTGCTTATTGAAACCCCTGGGGAGGTCTCTTAGAGTCCTCTTGGGTCGTCTTGGGTGCTCTTGAACCGTCTTGTGGCCAGCTTGGATATTCTTGAGGCCTCTGGGGTACATTGGAGTCGTTCTTGTGCCGTCTCGGCGCGCATCTGGAGCACCGTGGAGACGTCAGAAGTTGAATTTGAGTATCAATCACTCGCCCACATGCAAGTCGAGTTATTGGATGCCAGTGTGAAGTTCGTACTCTTGACTACCGCAACCGATTACGTGAAGGGACCTGGAGGACCTGAGGGAGCTCGTGGAGTCCCTAACCGCAAGCACCCGCACATAATTGTCCCCTCCCCCCACAAGCACATACACACACATACACACTCTCTCTCTCTCTCTTTCACAAAACACGCACACACGCGTCACACATCACATCAGGAAGCGCCCTCCTGGGGAAATGGGAGTGTGTTGCCCCGAACGCGGCCGCTCCGCCACGACTGGATCAACAGTGCGCCCGCCAAATTGACCCCACTGTCCGCGAACCCCACGGGTGGGACGAACGAAGGAGAGGGGGAGGGATAAGAGGAGGAAGGGGAGGACGGAGAAGGAAGAGGGGGACACAACGTGGACAGGGGGGTGGGTTGAGGTGGTCGCCCCGCGAATCCCCCAAGGCGCCACCAGCCAGCCATCTAAATTTAGTTAGCACTTCCTGGCTGGCTGAGACGCGTGGAGATCTCTGCTCGATGCGTCAGCGGGAGGTGCCTCTTGAGCCATTGCTGGTCCATCTTATGAAATCAATTGAAATAAATAGCTTTTTTAGAAATGCGCTTATAGCTAAAGTACAAACAAATGATAAGATTTGTTGTTTAGCTTTTTCAAGGTAATCCAACCTTTTTTTCGGCCGTGGGAAGCTCTCGGACAGGCCTGGAGAGAAACCAGAGGAGCTCCAGGCTGCCCAGGAAGCCTCGGGGGGGCGGCGCTCGCGGGTGGACGCGTCGAGAGGGGTGGGGAGGAGGAGGAGGAGGAGGAGGAGGAGGAGGAGGAGGAGGGTCCCTGAGACGATTACCCATCGGTCGTTGAAAGTAGGTATCTTGGGATTCCCGGATTCCAATCCACTTTCTTTCAGCGCCTTCCTGCTTCAGTGGTCGAGTGGTTCCCCCTCTCCCCTCCTCTGCAGGGGGCGGGCGGAGACCCAATCCGCTTCCAACGCCTTCCTACTTCATGTTTCTACCTACAGTCGGGGCCCTGAAGAAGGAACCCTTTTCGTTGGGGAGGGGCTCCGCGTTCCTTAAGTGTTTCACAGCTTGCCTCAGGCTTTCCTTCTGTTTTCGACAGGAAATCGAAGGTTAACTTATGGAAAAAAGGGGCCTCGTTCCTTATTTAGGGTTCCTTAGGTCAACGCCCCGACGGTACTTCTTACGACCGAGGGGTACCGACGGCATGCAACATGTTGCAATTGCACCACGCCTCGGCGTGCCAGGGTGCCCGGTGGCGGACTCGTCGGCCGGGCGGCTTGGAAGACATGCCGTGCCCGAGCAGACACGGGAGCACGCAAGCAGCATTCACCAAGCCTTACTCCAGATTTCGTAATAAAAGGGAGGGGGTCACAACCCTCCCAGACAAGACGTTTTAGACCCCCCAGACTATCCATGAAAGGGCGGCCCTTTGCCCAGACCCCCCCCGAACCCTCCAAGACAGCTCAAATTAGACCCCCCCCCGAATGTGACCCCCCCCACTTTGTTATGGAATCCGGAGTATCTTGTTGCGGATGCATTCTTAGGAAAGGTATCGTTCCCCAAGCAGAGCTTGCAGAGAAAGGGGTCCTAGCGGATTTTGCTTGGAAGATTTGGCGGAAGTCCCCGGTCGCTTTAACTAAGCGGCTGGGTTCCATCGGTTCCTGTTTCCAGGTCCCCGGGTTTTCGGGTTCTTGGTTCCGGGTTCTGGGTTTGTGACCCCGGGTTTTTTGTTCTGGGTTTTCCCGCAGTGTAAGGTCGGGGTTCCCGGGTTCCGGGTCCGGGGTTCCCAGGAGTGTAGTGTTGGATGGGTTCCCGGCTTCTTGGTGTTGTGGAGATTTTTATTGTGGCCAAGCGATTGGGTCTTCGACCGTAAGGAATGCCGGGGCCAGAGAGCTGCAAGCAGAGTTGAACAGAGGGATTGGAAGAGAGCGAGAGAGAGAGAGAGAGGACAAAACAACTAATGTGCGACTATTGTTAGATATAAGAGCGAGATTGATGTAGTACATGTAGGGAACGGAATGCATATCGGGAAGTATAGGGCGAAAGTGGGTGTAGAGAGGAAAGAGGACAGCGGTACATGGAGAGAGAGAGAGAGAAGTGTGAGAGAGAGGAATAGACAAGCATATGCACATACAGTTGAGAGTAGGCTTGGAGCAATAGAGTGCATAGCAAGGTGTCAGGGCATACCAAGTAAACAGAGAATATATGTATATACCGTATAAATAGAACAGAGAGAGAGGGAAAGAGAGAGAAGGAGAGGGCAGGGGTGGAGTGCACGCGGAAATTCCAGGACATACATCTGGTTTAGACGGAGCCAAATAGATTCGGGGAGTGCGATGTTGTTGTTGAAAGGTGGGAGGCGACACTACCCTAGGGCAGATGACGAAGCTCGTCCAGGAGGCTCAGGCCAGCAAGGCCGGCATGCAACGTGTGGCAGACTCCATCGCCCGGTTTTTCGTGCCTGCCGTGTTCCTCATTGCGCTGCTGACATTCATCGTGTGGACCGTGCTGGTGTTCACGGGGGCCCAGGAGCTTCCCAACACGAGCGACGAGGACAATTCCGGCATGGACCACTCGGGCCACTCGGGCACGGGCTCCATGTACACCTCGGGCACGAGCGAGGAGGAGCAGCTCCAAGTCCGGCTCGATCTTATAGGTTGTAGGCTCGATCTTGGGGCCCCCGTGCTCTTGGAAGATTCAGAGGCTGGGGGAGTCGAAGAAGAAATAACGGCAGAAACATCACTTTTGGCGCTACGCGCGGATTTCTTGGATCCGCGCTGGCCCCCCCCCTCCCCCCGGCGACTCCGGCGCCGCCCCTGGCGCGCTCCGCACGCCAGGGAGGGGGGCCCAGCGCAGATCCAAGAAATCCGCGCGGAGCGCCAAAAGTATATGCTTATGTCGTGAGAGCGGGAGTCCCCCCTCATCAGACGAAATCTCCATCCAATTAGATCGAACAGAGCTCAGAGTTGCCAGGAGGACGACCGTGGCACGGGGTTCTTGAAGGTGCTGTTCTCCATGAATTTCTCAATCTCCGTGCTGATGATCGCCTGTCCGTGCGCCATGGGCTTGGCCGTCCCGATGGCGGTCATGGTGTCCGTCGGCATCGCAGCCAAGCGAGGCTGCCTCGTGAAGAACGCAGAGGCCCTGGAGGTGTCCGCGCGCATGGATGTCCTGGTCCTGGACAAGACTGGCACCATCACTGAGGGTGCGCCCCGCATCACGCTCGCGGCCTATTGCCCAGAGGTCTTCGCGCCACTGCAGAGCGCATGGGCATCGGTGCAAGCTACGGCGCCCCCTCCGGTCGCATTCGAGGCGGCCAACACCGTGGACACCAAGGGGTCTGTTCTGAGCCCGGGGTCGTTCGGCGCCAAGAGCAGCACCAGCAGCGCTGGGTCCAGGCGCAGCAGGGCAGCTCCCGCGCCCACCGTGCAGGCCATCGGCGATGCGCAGAGCGGAAGCGACACGAAGGCCCTGCAGGATTCGGGGAGCCAGAAGTTCCAGGAACATGACACCAGAGAGAAAAGCCCAATCAGTGGATGGTGAGAGCGATGGGGTGAGATGAAGAGCGAGATCGATCATGAGGTCGACGGTGAGCTCGATCGCGTGAGCCCGAACTCAGCCCAGAACCCGTAACCAGGAACCCGCGACTTTCGCCAAAAATCTTTCAATATCCGCGAGGACCCCTTCAGTGCAAGCACCGCTTGGGGGACAGCTTTCGGGAAGGTCCGCGCGGCTATCTCGGCTCGGCGTCGGCCCGCCCGGCGCCTCCAGCGCCGCCTTCGGGCGCGCCCCGCGCGCCAGGGAGGGGGGGCCCGCCGATCCGAGAAGTCCGCTACAGTGAGCGGCTTGAGTAAGGAACACTTACTTTTCAAAAGGGGCTCGGTCGTTCCTTAGATTTTACATGCGTTAGTTACAGTTCCTTGTGCGTTCCTTGTTATGTATCGTTCCTTATGCGTTATTCCTTGGGCTAAAAAGGGGCTTCGTTCCTTATTTATCGTTCCTTAGGTCAACGCCCCGACTGTAGAGCTCCGAAAGTGTATGTCTATGCTGTTTGTGGACTTCGTGGCCCGTTCTCGTGCTGACTGCGAAGGCCTCACGGCCGGCGTCGCCGAATCCGAAGGGGGACGTCGACGACGACGGCGGCGGCGGCGGCGGCGACGACGACGACGCTGACGTGGGCCCGAGTCCTCAGGGATGTTCCTTGGGTCTCGTGGGAAGACTCTCGGGGGGCTCTGGGGACGAATTTTGGGGCCTCTTGGAAGCCTCTTCGGGGCCTCTTGGGGGGGCCTTTTCGGGTGTCATGGGGGCCTCCTGTGGGCTTCTTGGGGTCTCTTGGGAACCTCCTGGGGCCTCCTGGGAGCTTCTCGGGGCCGAGGGCTCGAAATGTCCGTCCGGGGTTCCCCGTCAAGGCACGCTCTCTTGGAGCCCTCTTGGGGGCATCTTGGGCTGGCTTGGAGGCGTTTGGGGTTGTCTTGGGGTTCTCTTGGGATGTTTTGTAGCGCTCTTGGAAGCATCTTGGGCCGTCTTTGGGCGATCGTGAGGACCTCTTCGGCTATCTTGGAGCGGCGGGAAGCAGAAAAGGCGAGAACGGCCAAATATGTGAAGAACCTTAGGGAAATGAATGATGTTTGCATCTTGGGGCCCTCTCGGGAGTGAGTGCCTTTTGAGGCCTCTTGGGACCCGCTTGGTCACACTGTGGAAGAGTCTTGGAAGTCCGGGGGCCTCTTGGAGGTCTCGTGGAGAATTCCTGGGCACTTCTTCGGGCTTCCTGGACCGCGCGGGGGTTTCCGGACCGCGCGGGGACCGCGCGAGGATTTCGGAATCGCGCAGGGGGGAAGCGTATTTAGGTGGCGACGCCGGGACCTCCCCCCCCCCCGGCACGGCGGAGGAATCAAAGGGAAGGGGCGTCCCTTCGATTCGATTACGACATTGCGAGGTTTTTCTCTCGCAGGAGGTTGCAGGGAAAGGGGGCGACGCAGACGACGACGACTGACGGAGACGACGACTCGAACAGACAATTTCGTGGCCCGTTTTCGTTCTGACTCCGCTTTGCGGCAAAAGCGGAACGAAGGCAGAACGGGGGAGAACGAAAACGAAGCGAGACGGGAACGTATTGCTTAGTTCGAGCCTTGTTCCGGCGATCGCAAGCATGGATCAAGGGGGCGTGGATTAAATAGCGACGGGTCCCGCCTCCATGGGACATCGCGGATCTCCGCCGCAAAAACGAGGCGGCACCGGCCGCATTTTGGGAAAGGGCACCTCCCCCGATCCATGGATTCGACGACCGCGCGCTAAAGCCATGGATCGCCAATCCTCAGGAGGGGAAGAAATACACAGACACAATTAATCGGCGATTCCCAGAATGGGAAAATATGGGAAGTGGGGGGTAAGACAAAAACCCAGAAAACATGGGAAAATATGAGGGATATATTTATTTGTGTGTATTTGTTTGTGTGTCCCAGTTCCCCTTCAAATCCATGTGTTGCGCGCCCCCGACCTGTGCAGGACTGCTTCTGGTGGATCCTGGGCAGCCTCGAGAGCACCAGCGACCACCCCATCGCGAGGTGCGTGCAGGGCGCGGTGCAGAGGATGCCGGGCCTGCCGCCCGCCGCGGGGCCGCAGGACTTCGAGGCGGCTCGGCGGGCCGAGAACACCAACAACAACAACAACAACAACAACAACGACAACAACAGCAGCGACGACGACGACGACGACACAACAACAACAACAACAACAACAACAACAACAACAACAACAACTACAACAACTACAATGACAACGACGACGACGACAACGACAACGACCACAATATCATCAGCAACCATTTCAACAATCAGTTTAAGACTGTTCACTCCGATCTGCTCACGTGCCAACCAATACGTTTATCCCAAGCCCTCGGTACCCGCCCTCGTCGTCTTCGATCGTACCCCCTTGGGGGTGTATCTTCCTTGCGTGCCACGTGCATGTAATGCAGCCCCTAAGACACGGAAGGGAAGACGGGTGGAAGGGGGAGGGATAAGAATGGAGCACGAGAGAAATGAGCAGGAGGGGGTCAAGGAACAGAAGACAAGTGGTCGAACCAGACCGGCAGATCGGGTGGGCAGACCCACAGCGGGCAGGTCGGGAAGGTGGGCCCAGGCGACGAGGTCGAGCAGGCGGGTCGCTGCAGCGTGGGTCCTACATCAATCGCGAGGAAGTCTCGAGCGACAGCGCTTTTCCTAAGGAAATCGAGAGAATAGCCAAAGCGAGAGCGTGATTGCTGAGCGCTGGGGGCGCATCGTCTGAATGAACTGCGAGGAAATCCCACGCAAGAGCCCGATTCGTCTACACATTGTGAGGATGTCCCGCTCGAGAGCCCGATTTGGGAATAAATTGTGAGGAGTATCAGGCGTGAGCCGCTGTTGTTGTAAACCGGGGGCTAACAACACAGGTTTAGCCCCGTGACTTCCTTGATCAACAAAAAAACAGGATGCGAGCCCTGGGGGGAGCATTTCAAGTAGAAAATACAAAGGTCACCAGAGGTGGGATCAACAATAATTATTATCTTGCAATGAAAGTTCAACAACAACCATTTTAAGATTGTCCGCTCTTCCTGGCACGCGTGTCTTGCATTCCGTATACCCAAACCCTAGATACCCGCCCACTTCGTCTTCGATTGCACCCCCTTTTCGGGGGGAGTCTCTTCCTTGTAGGCCACTGACTGCGGAAGATGTCTCGAGCGAGAGCGCCATTCCTGAGTTCGGGAGCCTCGCTGGCAAGGGGCTCTCGGAAAACCTACAGAGAAATATCGAACGGAGCCCTTGTCGCCGTGTCCGGGCCTCCACCAACTTGCTTGAATTACGGGTAAGTCTCGAGCGAGAGCGCCGTTCCTGAGTTCGGGGACCTTTTTGGCCAGAGGCTCTCGGAGTAAATCGCGAGGAAGTATCGAGCAGGAGCCCTTGTCGTCGTGGCTGGGCCTCCGCCAACTTAGTTGACTTGCGAGCAAGTCTTGAGCGAGAGCGCCGTGCCTGAGTTCGGGGGCCTCTCTGGCCAGGGTGTCCCGGGGTAAATTGTGAGGAAGTATCGAGCGGGAACCGTTGTTGTCGTAGCTGGGCTTCCAGGCTCAAGCCAGCGCTCGAGCGGGAGCCTCGTTTTCAGAGAAAACGTAGCCGGCGTCGAGGCGAGAGCGCGTCGAACCGTTTCCAAAGATCAGCAATTATCAATGTATAGCAATGAGTATGCAACAACAGCAACAACAACTACTACCACTACAACTACAATATCAACAACAACAATAAACCAACAACAACAATAATAACAACAACAACAATATCGATAACAAGAACAACAACAACAACAACAACAACAGCAACAATCAGTTTAAGACTGTTCACTCCGATCTGCTCACGTATATCCCAAACCCTCGGTACCCTCACTCGTCGTCTTCGATCGTACCCCCTTGGGGGTATATTTTCCTTACCTGCCACATGTATGCAGTGCAGCCCCTAAAACAAGGGAAGAGAGGACGGGTGGGAGGGGGAGGGATAAGAATGGAGCACGAGAGAAATTTGCAGGAGGGGGGCAAGGAGCAAAAAACAAGTGGTAGAACCAGACCGGCAGATCGGGTGGGCAGACCCATAGCGGGCAGGTCGGGAAGGCGGGCCCGGGCGACGAGGTCGAGCAGGCGGGTTGCTGAAGCGTGAGCCCTGCATGATTCGCGAGGAAGTCTCGAGCGATAGCGCTTTTCCTAAGGAAATCGTGAGAAAAGCCAGCGTGGGCCACGAAGGGTAGAAAATCCGAGGCCACAGAGGGCAGCGACGGGGCCGCTGAGGGCAGCGATGGGGGCCACGAAGGGCGGCGAGGGGGGCCACGAAGGGCGACAGCGGGGCCACGAAGGTTGACAGCGGGGCCACAAAAGGCGACCGGGGCCACGACGGGCGCGATCGAGCGGGGACCACGACGGGCATCCGTATACGGGGCCACAAGAGGCGACAGCGGGGCCTTTGAGGGTAGCAAAGGGGCCAGGAAGGACGGCGAGGGGGCCACAAAGGGCGACAGCGGGGCTACGAGGGGCATGCGTATGGGGCCACGACGGGCGCGTGCGAGCGGGGGCCACGCAGGGCATACAATGCGGGGACACATAGGGCAGCGACGGAGCCACTGAGGGCAGCAACGGGGACACGAAGAGCAGCGAGCGAAGGCGACCACGGAACCAGTACGGGCAGCGAGGGGCATCGAAGGCGGGCTAAGGGCAGCGAGCGGCGACTGAAGTCATTAACAGGCTGGTCGGGCGGGCAGGCCCCGAGCGTGCGGGTCGTTGAAGCGTGAGTCTTGCTTGAACCGCCAGGCAATATGTAGCGGGAGCGCGATTCCTGAGTGTCGAGGACCAGCATCTGAATAAGCTGTGAGGAAATATCAAGCGAAGCGGTTTGGTGGTAAGTTGCGAGGAAATCCCAAGCGAGAACGCGATTCTGCAATAAATTGTCCAGAAGTCTCAAGTGGGAGCCGCGATTCGGTGGTACATTGCCAGGAGGTCCCAAGCGAGACCGCGATTCTTCAATACATTGTGAGGAAGTATCCGTCGGGAGCCGATGTTGTTGTTGTAAACCGGGGGTCAACGACACAAATTGAGCCTCAAGGCTTTCCTTCATAAAAAAACAGGGTGTGAGCCCCAGAAGGGGCATTTCAATCGAAAAAATACCATGTGCACCAGGCGGGGGGATCAACAATAATCATTCTTCAGAAGTGAGAGTTCAACCACCTCAACAACAGCATCAACAACAGCAACAGCAACAGCAACGACACCAACAACAATTCAGTATCGTTTAACCGATCCCCATCCCATCGGGCCATCACACACACACACACACACACTAGTTGGGAATAGGCCCTTCGAAATCCGAAGGGCACAGCCTACATCCCTATCTTGGAAGGCAAGTCGGCCAGTGGGGCCCGGGCCACGCCAGTGGGGATAGGATCGGCGAATCGGTGCTCAGGAATCCAGGGACAGCCCAGGGGGGATCAGGCCCGATGCGAGTTCCCGTAGGGAAGATAGTACCCGCACGCACCGCTTCGCGGGGGGCACGGACGGACGGGCGTTCCGTCCGCCCCTCCTCTTCCTCAGGGTCTTCGCCTTCTCCCCCTGCTTCCTCTTCCTCTGCATCCTCCTCCCCTTTCTCCTCGTCCTCTTCCCCTGGTTGTTCTCCACCTCCGCCTTCTCGTCCTCTTCCCCCCTTTCTTCTCCATCTTCCGACGCCAGTTCGCGCCTCCGAGTTTCGACCTCCACCATCTGACTCTACACCTCCAAACCCACCCATCGACCCCCAGCCTCCACCGGCTCGGCACCCCGACCTCCGACATCGAGCAACCGACTTCCCACCGCCACCTCAACCTGACGACCTCCAGCTCCTCCACCGGCGCAGCGCTCCAACCTCCAGCCTCCACCATTCGATGCTCCACTTCCACCTCCACCAACCGACCTGGGGCCTCCACCAGCTCAGCACCACGACCTCCAGCCTCAAACAACCGACTTCGCACTTCCACATCACCTGTCGACCTCCAGCTTCCGCCAGTTCGGCACTCCGACACCAGGCCTCCGCTATCCGACTTCCCACCACCTCCACTTGTCGACGTCCAACATCCAGCGCAGCACCCCAGCCTCCAGCCTCTAGCATCCGACTTTCTACCTCCATCTACACCTATCGACCTTCAACCTTCATCAGCTCAACCTTTCGACCTCCAGTCGCTAGCATCCGACTTCCCACCACCACCATCTCCAACTCAGCACCCCGACCTCCAATCTGCAGCATCCGACCTCCCACCAACACCATTGTCTACCGACCTCCGACCTTCACCATCACACCAACACGACCTGCAGCATCCAGCATCCGACTTCCACTCCCACCTCCATCGATTGACTTCCAGCCACCATCAGCTCAACATGGGCCTCTGGCCTCCAGCATCTGGCTTCCCACTTCCACCTCCACCTATCGACCTCCAACCTCCTCCGGCTCAAGTTTCCAACCTCCAGTTGCCAGCACCCGACGTTCCACCACCACCAGCTCCACCGATCGACCTCCAAGCATCATCCCCACTGGCTCGGCACCCCGACCTCCAGCCTCAAGCATCCGGCTTCCCGCTTCCACCACCTCCACCAATCAACCTCCAGCCACCGCCAGCACAACATGCCGACCAGCCTTCAGCGTCCGACTCCACGCTTCCACCTCCACAGGCCAACCCACGGAGCACTGGAGGAGGACGAGGAAAGCATAACACGGCCGATGGCGACGTCCCCTATCAGCATGCGCTGAAATCACCCACGAGAAAACGATGAGGGCGAAAAGAATGAGCACGATCAGCATCATTCAGCATCACATCCGTCATCACCCCAACCATTTACCATCATCTACACAAATGCGCGAATTCCTAGAACGGACGATTCCATAGACGAATGGTTGCACGAATTGAGTGACGTACATTGGGATAGTCTTGTAATCAACGAGAAACGAATCCCACGAGATGTGGAACACAAGGCGTGGCAACCATCTACAAGTAAGGGTTTCACCCCAATGCCGCCGGCCCCCTCCCTTAGAATGGGACTGCCAGAGCTGTGTTGGCATGTTTGGACGTTGACGTGAAGCAATGTCGGGACT